GAGAGATAGGTTCCGTTAGGCTATCCGAGATACTCCACAAATGCTATAGCTTCAGTACATATTGGTTACGTCACTTGTGATTTGACTTTCTTTCGTTGAAAAACGATTTGACTTAAATCTTATTATTCAAATCAAAACTGAAATATTCACGATGAAAGCAAATATATATGTATGTAATGACAAAAATACGCAAGTGTAGGCTTTAAGAAAGCTTTATTCAACTGAGAATACACGGTTCGCTTATAGTGTCCTTTTATAGTCCCAGTAAACAGAAATAGCTCTTTCAAAGAAGAAAGTAACAAAAGAAGGGAAGACCACTCTTGATTATTCATAATAATGTAGTTATTATTTCCGTCTTAACGAATATACGAACAAGATGTTCAAAGAATATATACATGGACATTTTTCGCGACGTAACTTTCCCCAAGTAAATTTCCATTACTCAAAATGATTCCAACCACGTCCTCTGATAATTTAGGAATATCTTGAAACAATATTTTTTTTATAACATTATTTTATTATTTATTTAGCTTAGAATTTGATCAAGTTGTTTTCTAATGATATCGACTAAACTATTACAGATATTACCTGAATCTCCACGTACTCCTTTTACAATGACCCACGCTTAACGACCAAGTGTATGTGCAGTAAGGATGTTACATTGTTTTGGAGATTGCCTAATCGATGAGTGGTCATTTCGCAAGCACGCAATCTCTGCTTGCTTAGTGACAAATAAAAGCGATATCATGTATAAGCTAAGGTTGCCGGGGATTAGTCCTTAGCGCTTCTGGGGTCGCGATACGTAAAGGAAATCAGCCAAGACTGCTGAGTAGTTTTTGTCCTTAATCTCATGAATGCTTAATATTCTTAGTTTCGACACGGCCTTGGGTCTTATTCCATTCAAAAGGGCGTGTGGACAATACTAAATCGTATTCATTTGTCCCCAGTATTTCATAATACTTAAACACACGGGCTCTCATTCATGCTATAAGGATGACTAGAGGGGTTCAAACCCATTCAACTTTTGCTGTAACTGAAAACTAAACAGAAGATTAAATTCGCCTTCTCCTGTACTGATCTCTATCAGTTGTCTAAAACTCTCATTAACAATTATTTATCAAAATACTTCAGAGAAATTTACTTAGATTTAAAAAAAAAATTATAATCTAAAACATGTATATAAGTCTTATATGCAGAAAAGTCTATAGGTCTAATTTTTTATCAAATTCACCCCAAGCAAGGATGTAAAGCCGCTAAGACACAAGGGATTACTGGGTGTGAAAGAATTTGAAAATCGAAAACATTAGGAAGGAGCGGGAAAAACAGAAAACTCATCAGGAAAACAGTAGATAACGAATGACATTGCATTTAAATTTTTAAAGATCAAAGTTAACCGGAAAATTGAGAACAAGAAGATAGTTCTACAAGCGAGAAGTGCGAGAGAAGAAAATGTTAGCATAGAACTTACGGTTACATGTAGTCATTTCAATTGTAAATTGATGAAACCTTGTTACGATTCTATTATTTCGCTTAAATTCATAAAATCTAGGTACATTAACGAAGAGTTCATCCGAACATTAAAGAAATGCAAGTGAAAATCAAGGAGTTACAATAGGATATTATATTTAAAAGAAAAAGTCCCTTTTATAAGAGAATCAGATTTTTAAAAAACAGACTTTTCAAAACTTAATATCTGTTTTACCCCCCCCACACACACACACACGCACAAACACACACCAACAGCAGCAGCAACGTTTTAAATTTAGCGCTGCCGGCTTTTTGTAACACTACGTCTTAGGCAAAGACAAGTAATATATATGCGTGTGTGTGTGTGTGTGTTTAATTAATTTTGGTGGCTTCTAGTGACATCGAAACAAACATAAACATATATATATATATATATATATATGTGTGTTCTCAAAAAAATAAAAATATCAACAATAATAAAAGACGATTGGATATTTTATCCACGCAACACAAGTTGGGAATATACAAATTATGGAAATATAAGTGAATATTTTAATTATATTTATTTTATTTCTTTATATACATGATAGATGGGAAATAGACAAACCAGGATAACCCGGATATATAAGAGAGACCTGTCCCAAATTAGAGGCAAGAGAAACCCGGATATAAAGAGAAACCCGGATATAAGAGAGATTTCTCTGGTCCCAAATTAGAGCCTGTGTTAATGTATACATATAGACCAGACCAAACCCGGATATAAGAGAAACCCGGATATATATAAGAGAGATTTTCTCTGGTCCCAAATTAGAGCCTGTGTTAATGTATACATATAGACCAAATAAGAGATTTTCCCAGATATAAGATGTATATATAGACCAAACCCGGATACAAGAGAAACCCGGATATAAGAGAGATTTTCTCTGGTCCCAAATTAGAGCCTGTGTTAATGTATACATATAGATACAAGAAAACCCGGATATAAAAGAAACCCGGATATAAGAGAAACTTCTTCTCCTGTGTTAATGTATACATATAGACCAAACCCGGATATAAAAGAAACCCGACAACTCTCCCAAATTACATCCGGGATTATACCCAACAACTGTTATTATAATATAACAAATTATTTAAAATGGGAATACATGAAAAACAGTTGGATTTTAATTTTTATTTTTGATAATAGTTTTCACGTATTCCATCTTTATATATATATATATATATATATGCGTGTGTGTGTGTGCCTGTCTGTCTGTGTATGTATGTATGTGTGTATGTGCCTGTGTGTATTTAAAATCGACCAATGTTGGTGTGACCAACAGAAAGTGAACATTGAAGTCAACACTCAGAGGCGACAGGCTGTTTAATGTTGGACGCCTACACACACACACACAAGTGAAAGAAACCCAGTTGCAAGATCAGTTGCATGTAGAACTTCCCCTCCCATCACTGCAGTCATTTGCTACGTTGCATTTGCAAATGGAAGACGGACGTTATCACGAAGTAAAAATCATTGTTCAGCTTCTATACCTCCCATAGCCACGAAACATCTATCTGCCAATGCGTTATTCAAACGAACCAATTGCTCATTGTAGCAGAAGTTTTGCCCAGGTAATTCATTACTTTCTAATGAAGAATTTTCCACCCCAGGCAAATTCTTTTTTTATTGAGAACCCATGGATTGTTTTGGTTCTTGCCACCATTTCTTCCTTTTAGAATCTTGTAATAAATCTATATTTAGATTCTTTATTTTTTTTTTGTTTCCGTTATTTTGTTATTAAATATTCCATATTGTGACAACAGAAGATCTTCTAAGAATTGTTAAATGTTGTAAGAACCTGGAGGCATATTTACTGTGGATGGACAAACGATTAAAGCACTTTGTAAACATTTTCATCTTAGTGAATTGTTTTTGTTTGTTTTTGTTTTTCTTTTAATTATATTAACATTTTGTATATCAAAATTGTGGTCAGGCTCCTTACGGTGAGCAACTAATGCGTTTGATGTGTTGTTTTGTAAAATATCCCTTTGTTTTAATATAATCCTTTATTTAAACATCTTGAGATTTCTCCAATGTATTCTTTCTGACAATCATGACAGTAAATTCCTTCTTCAACTTTTAGCTTATCGTTTTGTTTTGTATTGATTAAGTCTTTTTATTGTCTTACATGTAGGTGTGAAAAAATTTATGTTGAGACGGCAGATTTTTATTATTTTAGCTATTGGGAGAAAGAGGGTTCATGTTTGATTGTGTTAGGTTCTTTTTAAAAAGATTTAAGCATTTAAGACATTGATGTAATGGGATTTTTATATCTAGAATGGTCATGAGTTTTTCAATCATAAATCTTTCCTTTAGTTTTTCAACTACGTTGCTTGAATTTTAATATGTGTTTTGAGTGATTGTTCCAAGGAGAAGGGTTAAATGTTTTGTTATAGTTTTCGCTAGTTTGTAGGGAGTGCTAACTATTCTTTAAATAATGGAGCGTATTGGGATACCTGTTTTGTGTGCTTTAAGGAGACCGCAAAGTTTGGGATTTCTAGTTCATATTCTATTAGTTTCTACCATGATTTCTCTTCATTTATAAATTGTTTCTTAACCGCCATGTTAATTTTTGGGGTTTCCGTAATTAGTTCTTCCTTCCTATGTGTTTCGATATCACTGAGTATTGAATTGATTCTTTCATCGTATGAGTTTTAATTCATGATTAAATTTAAAATTCCCAACGTCTCTCGGCCGGGCACATGTTTAGCTGTATTTACATGAACAACATTAGTCTGAAATGGCGAAACGTTTCAGACGAAAACTTTTTCCATTTTGTTATACATCTTTCCTCAAGAGTTGCCATGAAATTTGTTTCATTAAATTATTCTGAACACCTACCCCATATATATATATATATATGTGTGTGTGTGTGTGTATATATATATATATATATATATATATATATATATATATATAGAGAGAGAGAGAGAGAGAGAGAGAGAGATTTTAATTCCCCCCCAAACCGTAGACATATTCTGGACGTGTTCACAATCTACTGACTGTGTTCGGTATTAAAAACATTTCTATTGCTTTAACAAATCTATATATCAGATAATGAAAAATCATCCTTGTTAATGGCATGAAAGTGATCGAATCCAAAGACAATTCGAAAAATTCTTACACACTCTATGTCCCGAAAAGCACTATTCTATATCTGGTCTATGCATATAAGAAAAAATGTAATAAAAACATAATCGTAATGCTTTTTCAGTCATCCTTAATGAAACCTGTATAAATGAGTAATTGCTGCCCAACTACACAATTACATATATATATATATATATATATATATATATATATATCTTTGTGTGTGTGATGAGGTGTTCAGAATAATTTAATGAAACAAATCTCATAGAGAAGGCAACGGAACCCACTCCTCTATTTTTCGCAAGAGCAAAATTTCAATTAATACTTAATAGATATTGAAAGCGACATTAACTTTTGCATACGCAAAAAAAGTGACTTATTCTCCGGCTTACGACGATTTAACGTTACAACAACGGTTCCCATACAATCTCCGAAATTAAGCAACGGCAAGCCTGATCAGTACCTAGATGGGTGACCACTTGGGAATAACAGATACAGTAAGCTTGGATGTCGTAACGGATAATGGTTTGGAATTGGAAATAGGGAAGCCGAGTTCGAATTCCAGTCAGGTTCATTATAATCCCTGAAGCACAAATACAAATTGGAAAATATATGAATACACGTCTTCCCTTAGTTACGGTTTTAATTAGTTGGTCTAGTATCATTAAAAATATTCTCGTAATCTAAAATAATTTCTGGCTTTAAATAATCTGAAAGAGGTTGATAAGCCGTAAAACAGGTCAATCAATTGTTGTATGATGATGGCGACCAATGCATTACAGTTTGATGAGGCGATTCATTCTTTAACTTCTGGAAACCTGTTGATAACTATGCGATTGTTTATATTTACGCACAGTGTTAATTGAAAGATAAAAACTTATCAAACATTACTATCTCTCAAAATACTCACAAACTAAAAATAATTTCTGACTTTGAATAACATGTAAAGTTGATAATCCGTAAAAATCAAATCATTCAATTCTTCCTTCACTTTCTTATTTCCTTCTATAGCCATAACAAAATCTACTATTTATTCTGCACCTTATGTCCTAATAGTGGATATATTGGTGAATCTAGAAATAATTTTAGATTTCGCTTCAACAATCATAAACAAACCGTACGTCAAAACAATTCTTATTCCCCCATAGCTAAACACTTTAATCAATCAGGGCACTCATTGGAAAACTGTAAATGTTTATTGATAGATTCCGATTTCAGTTCCACATACACACGGAGAAAAAAAGGAAAATACTGGATTTTAAAATTAAATACATATAAACTAGGGTTAAATAAAGACTTGGGTATTTTAAGTCTTTATAAATATTTCAATAGTTAAACATTTTTTTAGATATAGTTAAAAAAAAATTATATTATCTAAAATATTATTACAGTTAGATTTACGTTAGGAATATTCGCACACAGTGGCGTTCCATATCACGTGACGTCCGCGTCTCGCGACGGACGCTACTTGTAAACAAACAGTTATTTCTGATTGCGGTCAATCTGAAATATCCAATATATGTATAAATATATTAATACTTTCATAAAAAAACATTATTATCTTTTTTAATTTGCAACTTTTTATAATATATATATATATATATATATATATATATATATATCCTCACTGAAGTGCAGTGATACAGCGAAACAGTCTGTCTATGGATGACTATATATATCCTCCTGGAAAATCCTCTTTAAAGAAAAGGGTAATTTTAAAAACAGTGTGTCATACCGCTATTAAGGCATTGCTCTTCAACCGAATTGAATTGAGCTCTCCGGGCCACTGACATATTTCGCATAGAAAACGTTAAAATTTCCCTTCCTCTCTGCCGTGCAACGATAGCTTAGGGGTAGAATCTCTGACTGATACCAAATCAGTCGGTCTTGAAACAATCGAACGTCTAGCCACACTGAAGAGCTGTGTTACAGCGAAACAGTCTGCCTGTGCATAACAATATATATATATTATAAATTAATTGATTTAAAATATGTTTTTTTCGCTACACAGTTCTAACCATGTTTCAAAAATGGAAGGTCCGAATTTAATTTTGTGATTAAATTAAAGACATTTGTTCCATTTCATCCTCAAGCGAATTTTGGAGTAACTTTTAAAACCCAGTAATAAATAAGTTACTCCAAAATTCACTTGAGGATGAAATGGAACTAATGTATTTAATTTAATTACAAAATTAAATTCGGAGCTTTCAACTTCCATTTCTGTTATGATGTTGATTTGGGGTTAGTAGAGTCAAACGCCAAATAACACGTAACAATAAAAAGGGTTTTAATAGGTTGGTAAATAGGTACAGAATCGCCTGAGTAGTCAATTACTAGCTCAGCTAAGAACGGCTCCGTCTCTCTTCTGACATACCACTATTTAACGTCTTTGTTCGCAGACAAGCTCATCTTCAAGAGGGGTGGTAGGTTTCCGACACAACACCTCCCCCTTGAGATTAATTCCGGAGGAATTAATATCTTTTCCTTTTGGGATCTGGACTTAAACGTTCCACCCTAATTCTTTTTCTTTTGCTTGTCCTTCTTTGGACAACTGTTTCAGGCAATGGTGGAGTTGGTATATCAAATAAATCATATAATACATCCATTGGTTCTTCCTTTTCTTTACTTATTTCTTCAATGTTTCTTCTCCTTAATTGGTTCAAATGTCTTTTGTGCGTCCATTTTTTACTTCTTATCATGTACAACATCTTACCAATTCTTTGCGTTACCACTCCATCTTGCCAAAATTCCTTCCCATTAATTTAAAAAAAAAACTTTATCTCCCGGCCTGAAATATTTCATATTTTCTTGATGCGTTTTGTTCTGGTAACTCTTTTTTCTTTCCGGCAGCAGCCTATTGAATACAGATCTAATTTTTCTAGCAAACATCAATTCAGCTGGAGACATCCCTGATATTGCGTTTGGATTTAGTGTTATTCTGTATATACTTAAAAACTGCTGTATATTACCATCATCTGTATTAGTACCATTTGTTTTTTTAAGGGCTCTCTTGAACGTATCAACAAACCGTTCAGCCTGTCCATTTGACCTAGGATGGTACGGTGAAGTCGTGATGTGGTCAATTCCCAGAGTCTTACAAAACGTCTTAAATTCACTTCCTGTGAATTGAGTTCCATTGTCGGTGACAATTTTTTCTGGTACTCAAAACGTGCAAACAGTTCTGTAAGAACATCTTTTGTTACAGAAGCAGTTGGTCTTTTTTTGCACTTAAAAACCTCAGGCCCCTTGGAATAGCTATCCACAACTATCAAGTAAAAATTACCATTCATGGGTCCAGCATAATCTATGTGGAGTCTTGTCCATGGAACATCTGTTTTTGGCCATGGTGTGTATTTTACTGGCGGTGCTTTCCTTTGCCATTTGACACCCTCTACAAGTTTTAACTACCTGTTCAATGTCTTTGTCCATATTTGGCCAATAAACGTAACTCCTCATCAGGGCTTTCATACGTCCAATACCAGGATGCCCCTGATGAAATTCCTTCAACATCCGCTTTTGTAGTACAACCGGTATCCACGACCCTTCCAGCATATAACAGCACTTCATCACATATTGAATATGCTGGTGAAGAAGTTTTATACTTTCCTGAAGTTACAACTTCTTTCATTTTTCTAATAAAAATGTCTTTTTCTGCTTTTAATTTTATTTCATCTAATGTCACCGGTAATTCTTTTACTGTGTTATACATTACTTCCACCAATTCATTTTTTGCTCGTAACAACGCTATCACCGTATCTTCTAGCGGTTCCGAAGACGTTGGGATCAGCCTAGATAAACCATCAGCATGGCTTAAATTTTTCGATGATAAAAATTCCATTTTGAAATTGTAATTCAACAAAATGATTCCCCATCGTTGCAAACGGTTTGCCGTATGAGTAGGTATACCCTTCTTCGAACCATAGATTGAAAGCAGCGGGCGATGGTCGGTCTGCAATATAAACCTTCTTCCATGTATGTACTTATGGAGTTTTTTACAAGCATAGATGATAGCTAAGCTTTCTTTCTCAATTTGAGAGTACTTCTTTTCTGCGGGTAATAATGTCCTTGATGCATGTGCCACTGGCTTCGTATTGCCGTCTCTGAATTTATGCAGAATTACCGCACCTATTCCGTACTCGCTTGCGTCCGATGCCACTATAATTTCCTGTTTAGGGTCATAATGTGTTAGTGATAATTCCGACGTCAAAATATTCTTTATTTTGTCAAACGCCTTCTGACACACTTCTCACCATTCCCACTTTGCTCCTTTTTAAGCAATTTATTTAATGGAGCCGTAAGGCTGCACAAATTAGGAATATATATCCCATAATAGTTAGCAAGTCCTAAGAACGCTTGTAGCGTTACTACATTTTTAGGAGATGGCAAGCTTTTGTTCGCTTCTGCCCTCGCCGGATCTGGTCTTCTTCCATCAGAGTCTATTATCTGCCCCAAAAACTTAATTTCACTCATAAAAAATTCACGTTTTTCAGCTCCAAGTTTGAATCCATATTCTTCAATTCTTTCAAAAACCTGATTAATATGTTCCAAATGTTCATTTCGATCTTTGCTTTTTATCAAAATATCATCAAGATATGCAATGGCGAAGTCCAACCCTGCCAGCGCAGTGTCCATAATTTGCTGAAAAATACTAGGGGATACTTTTAAACCAAAAGGCAAACGGTTAAATTTGTATAAACCCTTGTGTATATTGATAGTCAACAATTTACAACATTCTTCATCCACTTTCACTTGGAGATAGGCATCCGATAAATCCAATTTAGAGAATATTTTTCCTCCACTTAAACTTGCAAAATGTCTTCTGGTGAAGGCAAAAAGATATGTGTGGTCTTTTAAGCAATCATTTAGACCCGTAGAGAAATCGGCACACATCCGAATTTTTTTTCTCTTAACATATACAACAGGGCAGGCCCACTCTGAAAATTCAATGCGTGAAATAACTCCTAAATTTTCAAGCCGTTCCAATTCTTTGTTAATCTGTTCCAAAACACCAAATGGCACATTTCTTTTCGTTTGAAAATAGGTTTTACATTTTCCTTCACTTCAAATTTTGCCTTCGTCTTTTACAACATCAAGACCTTCTGAAAATACTTGCGGAAATTTTATTTTCAGATCTTTCACCAAATTTTCTGTAACCCGATTTTTACACGGAGAAGAAACATTAATTCTATTGCAAAAAGAATTTATAGGGAGTTCCCATAAATTAAAAAAGTATAATCCAATCTGTTCCAAACAAATTTGAAGCATTTTGTAGCACATACACTTTTTAGACTTTAGTGTCTTACCAACAAATGAAATATTACAAGAAAATTCACCTTGAAAATGCAATTTTCTTCCAGAAATCCCGCGAGCCACTTTCTCAGTCTTTTTAAGCAAAGGTCTGCCTATTTTAATCCATGTTGCTGTCTTAATAATGGAAATATCACTTCCAGTGTCTAGCTGTAGTTTAACATTTTTTCCATTAATTTTTACCTGT